TTGATAATTCGTTTCTATGCAGTTAAAAAAAGTTCAGAATTTCCAAAATATTTCAAAATAAATTTTTTTTCAAAAAGTCTTTTTTTTCAAAAAAAGTAAAAGTAAATCAATGTCAAAAATTTATAGTTTCTCAAAAATATAATTTATTCAGAGTAATTTTTTTTCAAAAATGTTAATCTTTTTAAAAAAATATATTTGGTACAAGAAGTTCCAGCAATTTGCCTTAAGGCACGATGCCATGCGACCCACTAGTTTTTTTAATTTATATACTAGATTATTTTCAATCGATCGATGATTTGTTCCTTCTACAAAGCCTACACAGGACTAGTTTTAATCGAAAATCTATTTTCTGTCTAGGTACAAAAGGTATTTTCACATGTGTTTCAGGTAGTTTAATGTTTTATTCAAGGAATCTATTGAGAGCAAAGTACGTCAGGTGCTTTCTCTTTAAAACTGTAATTCAAACTTAATAATAATGGCCGCGAGGAAATTCTAAAGAACGTATTCTCGTTTAGGTTGGAATAAATGAGTGTATTTAAAGCGAAGCTTTTATAATATAATATAATCTTGAATAAAGAAAACCTGCTCTTGAAATTGGCTGTGTGTAAAGTAATTTGTCACGAGTTTTGTCCGAAGGTTTAAGCAAGTCTTTAGAGCGATGTGGTTATACAAGACTATTTTATTATTTTTTTACACATAAACTATATTTAGTTTCATAGTAGCAACTATGGTAATGTGTAAAACACTATTAAACAAAATGAAAAATGTTAATTGGGTAAATTATTTTACTTAACATTCACTAACAAATACAATTGTGCATTGAATCCAATTGCCAATTTTATGTCGAGTCTTTTCGTATTCTATAAAAAACCAAACAAATTTTACTGTTTTTGGATGACAATGATAGTGAGAATAACAAAAAAATAATAATAAATTCACCTCCCATGAATCCAATATTATTAACTCAAAAACAAGAGAAGTACCTAATTTTTAGTTATACTATTTTAAACTAGAAAACAAAAGACATGTAATCACCTTATTTCATGTCAAAAGTTTTTTTTTTGGTTCTGAGCTCTCGTATTTAGTTTATGATACATAAATATAAATTATAGGTATACGTTATTTAATTGTTTCAGAAAATGTATTGTTATTTTTATGTTAGATTCAACTGTTTTTTTTTTTTTCTCAATAAAACCTCTAAAAAAGCATACATGTGAGTTAAAAAGGACCAACTGTATATTCACAATAGAAAAGGTGTAAATAAGAGAAAATAGTAATTAAAAAAGTAAATTAAGTTGAAAAACTTCAATGAATTCCGATGATCAATATTCTTTTGAAACACCAGATTAAGGTTATATACAATTACAACATTTTAACATTGGAAAATATATTCTCATAAAATTTGTATATTTTACATTGGTTAAATAAAGTAGCTATTATTTCGTAAAAAAAATTAAAAATTAAAAAAGCGTTAGATATGTTTGTCGGCTGTCTGTGCTCGTTTGCTCATGGGGCAAAAAGAGACAGTTGACAAATTTTAGAAAATTGGTGAGGAAATATATTTCTATATATAAGAGATAACTGAGAATTTTATTGAACATAGAAAGTTGTTTGTTTGATATATGTGTTGTTATGTAGTTTATTTAGTTCAGACTGTATAATTCCTTAACCATTTAACGATCGAGTGTTTTTTCGTAAAAAGTGATCTAAAAGATCAGGCTTTTTATCAAATTGGATCTTTGTTTGCTCTACCCTATTATTAAACCCTTGTACCTCATTTTATTGATAAAAATCTGAAATATATTTATTATTATTGATTACGGCTACCTTATGAATAAATAACTAATTTTCGAGTGTTTCAGACAGCATGATGTCGAGCAACTGTGACTTCTGTTTTTACTTAGAAATATAGATAATAATGTTTCCAACTATTTCCAGACATTGCTGATTCAATAAATAATTATCAGTATTACAGAAACTCTTATAATTAATTTTTCTCATAGAGAGAGAAAAACCGGTCGAACGCATTGTCGTCAGTGCAGCACATTGATATAGTTAAGTTCTGCTTTTTATTATTTTTATTTGCTTTTATAAATTGCAATTTATCGTTATAAAGAGGAAACAACATTCGGTAATTTTGGTCAATAGTTATATAATAGAAGGAGGTCGAAAGGTCATCCAGTGGTAATCCGTTTTGTTGTTGATTGCATGAAGCTTATAGAAATGAATTAATAGTAGTACTGTTGCAAATATTCAAAATAACCTGCAAAAAATTCTGATCAATGTTAAAAATATGTATAAAAAAGCACCAATTTTAGAAAACAATACTATGCCATTTTTACGTGTCCCATGATCTCTACATGAGAGCATTGTGACTTACGACGGAGAATGTACAATCGCGAAGAAATGATAAAATTCTAGTGTATTAGCAACGCTTCGTCGATTTCATACTGCGGTTGTCTTCGTGGCCTAAGTGAATAGTGAGCAGTGAACAGTGAGCCGAGAGCAGATAGCAGATAGGAGATTCTGTTCTCTTTAATCGATACACGGCGACACTTCTTACAAGATTATATATTACTCCGAAAGCAGTGCCAGCAACGGTTTGTGTTTTATGGCCGCACTCTCGTGTTGTACTTGCCTAAAATGTACATCACAAATCCGACAGCACCCAAGGTGAGCAGAACGTTTTAAATTCTCTCGAGATAACTTCTTTACGCTCTTTTCAATGGCAATAAGATGCTACAATGCTCTGCAGCACATTGCATGAAAATATACATACATAGATAGAGATTAAATAGTCAAGTTCTGGATTTTTCCTATTCAGAATACGGTTGTTATTTATGGACAGTTTTTAAAATAGACTTTTAAAGTTTTTGAATCGTTTGTAATTCAGTAAAACAATCTGTGTAATTATTATGTAGTCATAGTGAGAAATGTTTAGATGATAGAGTAATTGTTATTAGACCTAAATATATTCTAAATGACTAATGCACTTGTATTCAAAGTCATTAAAACAATAAGTAAAAAAAACTCAGTAATTCACACAGAACGCATACGCCACAAAAGCTGATTCGTCATTGGTCAACGATGTCGTCATTCGAAACTAGTTAACGTGATTGGTCCTTTTGTCACGTGTATGCATCGTCTTGTACGATAACCATGTGAATAACGAAACGTCAAATGTCATCCCAACTAGCATTTAAGGTTATGTCGTCGTCTAATAAATCTAGATTGAATTAATTATAATAACACACAAACAAATCTAAAAATGTCGTGCTGTATAAGAAACTTAAGTTTTGTGTTTTATTATTTATAGTTGCTGTATTATATCTATAATGTAACTTCAATTGAAAATATTTTTATAGACAAGACGAATTTTACTGTAATATTTATTGTTGATCAAGAAGAATATGTACGTTATCAATCCAGAGTATATATATTTTTAAAATATTAGATTAATGGTTGATGTTAATAAATGTATGTATTACTCATTTTGAATTATTGTATGATGAATCCATTTTTAACTTAATTTTCATCATGTACAATAATAAAAATGTTTCAGTTAGCGCGTGTACCATACGTGCACTGTTTTTTCATATTTCTTTAACCTACATAACGTAATAAGCTGAAAGTTAAGTTATATACAAGTGAAAATTATAATCCAAAGACTGAATTTAAGATAATAAATAATATATTATTTTAATTATTCTATTTTACAATGTACATGTAATTGATTTATTACACTAGTTAAAGAATTTTCAAATAAAATCTTGATCTATATTATTCTGTTCGATAAATCTAAATTACAAAATGAATATACATTTCTTCAAATATTTGTTCGAGCCAGCGACCGATACAGTATCTCACATACATAACATATATTTTTATAGTTATTATGCAAAAAGAGTATAACACGATAAATGACACGTTACATTCTGATAAAGTCGTATATTGAGAATAAACGTACCCACTAAGAAACAACGCTAAACGATGCGGTGCGAGTCAATATCAATATTGAAAATACTTTTGTGCCGCGAAAGGAAATCTCGTGTTATTCTACTTTTCCGGTGGAACAGCGTAAGATATTTTGCCCGCGGTATTACGTTGTGAAGTCGTACTATAAGTAAACATCAAAGATAGAGACAAACATCAAAGTTGAATTTTCGGCGTGCCTCGTGCGCGCGGTGTTACCTGGATTTAAATGAAGAAATCCAGATTCGGAATGATTCCATACGTGACGCCGGATGAGAAAACTGAATTAACGCTAAAACTGCTAGGGTTATATTCCTCCCTTCTGTATAACCAGTGTTCGTTGAGGATTTACAGTACCGTGCCGGGAAGTGTGCAAACTTGCCTCGGTCTGTAAATCAATCGGTTTCGGTGCTAATCTGCTAGAGAATGAAGAGATCGTTCATGTCGAGTAGGTTTAACGCGCCGCGCCGCGCCGCGCCGTACGACGAGACGAGTCTGTAAACGCTATTTGTTATTCGCACTCACATCGTGGAAATAGATTAAATGTCACATACTAAAAGTGTATCGTTCGCTGGCTTCTTAACACTTCTGTGTACACGTTTAGCATTTGAAAATGATGTAGTATTATGCTTGATTCAGTTTAGAAAAAGTGCATGATATATTAGTGAGAGTCATGAAAAATGATTTATATATTGGAACGCTCATGTTGAAATCGATTATAGTCTAAAAGCTTTATCAAATATGTTCCCCAATGTCAATATTACTTATGATTTAGCCTATTTGAATGAATGGGTGCTTGAACTATTAAATTATACTGATCAATCATTAGAACCTTCTTATTCATACATTTTTCTACAGTCATCGCATTATAGTTCACAGAAAAATTCACACACGTAGACACTTGCAACAGTTAGTGATGCACTCGCTTGTTCACATTTATTAGTTTTCACAAAAGTACACAGACACCAAGCTATTTTTCACAGTGTATTAGTTCTTACAAAGTTTCTACTCCATAATTTAAGTCCCGGCTAAAGGGAAACATATCCTTCTGCGTGAGTGGAACACTCTTGCTGCGGCGGCGGTGGCGCAGGGGGCACCTCCGGAGGGTCTGATTGCACTGGGGACACAGGGGGACCCGGTAATGATAGCGTTGAGCTTCCGCCTGCTGTTACTCGAGGTCCCATGTTATCATATTGCGCTCTGGGTACGATCGGTGGTCCAGGATCGACCACAGTGGCTCTACATGTCGGTCGTCTAGGCAAAGTCGCATACGGTGCTTGCACGCAACAAGCACGTTCTGTGGGAATGGCTGTTGGCGTAATAGACGATATTAAAGGACGCGGCGCAATGTCTAACAGATCCGGAAAACGTCTGCCGTCCGGAGACGGCGCTACATTTCCATCTCTTGCTACAGATACGGATATGAAAATATTACCAAAAGCCCCAGCTGAGAACTCTGGTGGTGGTGGTGGAAAGACACGCGTCGGCGGTCCTAAAGTAGCCGGATATGCCATTAGAGGATCACGTCTATCATGACTTTCAATTGTTATATGCACAGGTCTCGGACCGCATGGCGGTGGCGATACACGCTCAGCCAAATCTGTGTCTCGCGGTCCGCCCAAAACTTCACAACTTCCAGCTCCAGATGCTCTTTCGGTTGTTATACTAGCGTCTAGTAATTTTTTCTCTTGGTCCGTAAAGCTAGCACTACCTTGTATTTTGGCTTTCCGTCTATGCCTTTTCCGCCTACCAGATCTCTCACATGCATAAACTGCGCAAGCTAAGCCAGTGATTCCCGCAATAGCTGCAATGACTGAGCCACATACTGCTCCCGCAAGTAACAGCCAAGAAGGTGCAGCACTCAATGTTGTGGCCGCAACAATTTCCGGCAAACTCAATGTTAAATTTTGCGATGCATATCCTAATGAATTTTCCGCTGAGCATGAATATTCACCGGCGTCTACATCAGATAAATTAAAAAGAGTTACATTAATCCACGTATCTTGCAGTCCATTTTCAAGTGATACAAGTGGTATTTCAGAATCTGTGGCATCTGCACCAGCAAGGGGAGCGCCGTTAAATAACCACGTGACCGTTGGTCTGGGATCGCCTCGAACTCTACATCCGAACGTAGCATTACCTCCCGGTTCTTTTTGTATTAAACGATCCGTTAGTAAAACTTCTGGGGGGCAAGCAAACTTTTCTGCTGGTACATCTTGCCACAATTGACCACGCAAGTCACGTGGGTCAGCACAATGTAGGGCTGCAGATGGCAGCTTGCCGGCTAGAAACCAATTGCGAAATCTTCGCAGATGACAATCGCATCTCCATGGATTTCCATCTAACGCTAAGGTTTTCATACGCCCTGTTGGCAGAAATGCAGCTTCTGATAAACTTTCTAATCGGTTACGTCTTAGGTTTAATGATTCAAGTTGGCCCAAATGTACAAAAGCCTCGCGATGTACATATGTTAAACGGCAGTCTTCTAAATCTAAAGTTCGTAAGTGGGGTAATACGGGAAATTGCTCCGCTATTAATTCGTTTAGCGGATTTCCGCTCAAACTCAAAACTCGCAGTCTATCATTACCGGTGAAGGTAGCTGGATGTATACGTTCCAGAGCGTTTTCCGATAGATCCAGCTCGACCAATATCCGTAAATCGAGGAATGCATCTTTATGAACTTCTCGGAGTCCGGTTGATTTAAGAAATACACGTTGAAGATTTAAAAGTCCTAATGAACTAAATGCTGCAGCGGCTAAACGCTCTATTTGGTTTTCCGTTAAATCAAGTACTTGAATGTCCGCACTAAGAGAAGCGGGCGGTGCAGTCAGTCCAGCGCGTGGACACAATGCTGACTTTTTGCCCGATGTCCATTTGCATCGACAAGCTGGAGCGCAGTCCGTCCAATCTGCTGCGGTTAAAGTCCAAAGTGCTGCACACAGCAACGCACACGGCCAAAGCCGCGGCTTTGCAAGGGCCCCCATGCCCGGCTACGCACTGCGCGCCGCTCATGGGGCCCGCACTATAGAACGCCTAGGAACCAGCCTAGGGTCCGTGTCGGGCTCAACGCCTGGTATCGACTTCAGTTTTCCACTTGGTGATTCCCACTGTATCGTAGCGAATCCTGGAAATAAAAAAATATATTAGTACAAATGGTCACGGGAAAGACAACTATATACTAAACAAATATTACTCTGTTCATGCATATGTATAATAAATTAAATTACAAAATGTATGTGTATGTGACGAACATTTTACGCCGTCAGCCCGATGAGTTGTACTCAAAAATTATTATTGTGCACAACTAAAAAGACAAATGTAAAACTCTGATGTAATTCAAAATTTTATATCACAGAGTCATGATAATTTTTTTAGATCGATTAAGAAAATAATAACAATTCAATTTTTTAAATATTTTTCATTAGTATTAGTAATATTTTTCATAGTTAAAGAATATTTGCCCATCTTTGCGCGATTATGTGATGGTGACACTCTATGTTCTCATCGAATTACTACAATGGCAAATTAATAAAGTCTTGTAAAACTTTAATATTTCATAGTAAAGCTCTTTGAATAAAATTCTACTTTTCTCTTGCTTCTTTTTAATTGACAGAATAAAACAAGCGAATATAAAGTCGTAGTGTCTACTCTCTAGCGCGCGTAAATATAAGAAGTATTTTCCTTTTTTTATGTTGATGTTTTATTAACTGTCATGACAAAATCAACACAAAGGAAATTAACTTAATTCAAAAATCAATTGCCTGAGAGTAAAAATGTATAGGAATAGAGCTAAGTTCGCGGATTAAGAGATCCGCGGACTTAAGTACTAAACTACAGGTTAGGAATTTTTCAACAATATTTGAAAGTACAGGGAAAAATATGTATAGCAGTCATTATTTGTAAAATTTCTTTAAAATTTAAATAAAACATTTGAACTGTTTGCACCCTGGCTGTTTCAATTTACCTTGTCTATGCGGTAAAAAGGACCAGATTACAAATTTTTGAAAAATAGCAAAAAAAAAAAAATTCTACAATAATTTCACTGAACATAATCAGATAATTATTTATTTGATATGTGATATTTGTTGTGTCATAATTCATTTGGTTTTCACACTTTTGAGCTCCGCCCTACCCCATTTAACTTTCTGAAGAAGAAGTACATATATGTTTTTTCCAAAAAAATCGTAATGCTATTTGTGTTTTCTCGACCTCTTAAGTCATTCTGAATTGTTTGAGACCAAAAGTAGAAAACGTATGTGTTTGTGTGTATGTTATGGACTCGTTTGTTTTTCCACACCATAAAGACCTCCATCGCCCAGTGATAAATAGATCACAAAGCTCTAATTTATTTATCAATTATGCAAAATATTAAATGTTTGAATACAATCGCCATGTCATGACGCGTTTGTTACACCACATCATAAAAACCACCGACGCCTCGTATAAATAAATAATCTATACCTATTAGCGTACGTTGTTCTTCTACTTAGAATATTCATTACCGACTTGAATGGTTTAGTTTATTTATTATCGAGTTGTGCAATAGCGTTTCGCTTTTGTTCGCGATAAAATCGTTTGATTGCGCAAATAAAAGTAATCAAACTCTACAGCATGTACGTAGAACAAGTAAAGTTATCTAGAGGAGCGTTTGGGCGTAACGCGAAGAAACTGTAATTGCGTTGTATCGCTCGAATTGTTCGAGGCAAATTCACCCGGCGGACTCATACTGAGCACTGAGCACCTCCATCAGGATTAGTGGATTAGCTGCGAATGCAGATTATATCGTTGGGTTTGAATGTATTCAATTCGCTGCCTCTGTAACAGCGATAACAGGTCCTAAAAGAGACCGTAAGCTGCTGGTCTTGTTGCGATAGAGGGCTGCGAAAACGGATCCCGGCGCGAATTATGAAATCGCCGAATATATAATATGCATATAATTGACTATTTAGTTAATTGGACAGACTAACTGTGCTGTCTTGGCGCTTCTTAACGCAATAGCGCGGATAGTGCGGCAATTTGCGACGGAGTATAATTTGCCGACCTGGATAAATATATTCACACAACCACGAGCAGGCGAATACGCACACATAAATATATACAACTGCACTCTTTCTGGCACTAACTTTATTAGATATTTTTAACTTCCCGTAGAAAAAGTTACAGTGATTGCAAAACAATCAAAAATGAAAATGTTCATAAATTTACGTTTAAAAGGTTTCTGAATAATTTGGCATGCCTTAGAAAAAATGAATGTATGTGTGTGTGTCTATGTACGTGTGGATACAATTTTTCAACGACGATTTTTAAAACACCAATCAACCGAGATTTGAATGATTCAAGAAACATACGATTTTTATTGAGAAGACGTGCTGATTAGTTTTTAGTAATGGCAGGTCCAGCCATTCCGAAAATACGAGGCAAAAAGTGCAAAAAATGGCAATTCAGTTTGTAGGGAAACGAAGCGCCTGATTTGAATAATTCAAAAAAACAATTTTTTGTATTGACAAAATAAAGCACCATTTAAATTTTTGCGAAGGCATATATAGCGGTTTCTGAAAAATCGAGTGAAAAATATAACTAGTGGTGCGCATGGCATCGTGCCTTAAGGCAAATTGTTGGAACTTCCCGTACCATAAATAATTTTTATTTTAAAATATTAACATTTTTGAAAAAAAATTATTCTGAAAAATTAGATTTTTGAGCCACTATAATTTTTGACAAAAATTTACTTTTTTTTTGAAAAAAAAGACTTTTTGAAGAAAAGTGTATTTTGAAATATTTTGGAAATTCTGAACTTTTTTTCAAAGCAATCGTACTGCTTTAACTGCATAGAGACGAAATATTGAAGCGCGTAAGCGCCGCCCCTCCGTCTAACGGATAAGCATTGGTACGGAACCCATAGAAATGTTAGCAAAATTTATACTTATTGTTAAAATTTTTATAAAATACCTGATAATTTGATGTGCATATTTCTAATGATCATTTTTGACCGCCAGATAGCATTTTTTTTACTTTTTTTACTTGATCTCCGAAACCGCTAGACCTGCCTTCATGAAATCAGTTCTTCATCTTGTTAATACAAGTAAAATGTTTTTTGAATTATTCAAATCGGACGCTCCGTTCTCTTAAAAATTGAGTTACCGTTTTTGGCACTTTTTGCCCCATATCTTTGGAACGACTAGACCTGCCTTTGCTAAAAACTAATCAGCACGTCTCCTTATCAATACAAATTGAATGTTTTTTGAATTATTCAAATCGGTTGATCGGTGTTCCCGAAATCGTCGACGAAAATTTGTATCCGCACATACATACACGCACACACACACATACATCCATTTTTTTTTCAAGGTATGCCAAAATATTCATAAACCTCTGAAATGTAAAGATATATAAAAATTTTCGTTTTCGATTTTTTTGCATTACTATAACTTGCCCTACGGGAAGTTAATAACAATTTTACATTCAATTATTTAAACACAATTTTTGATAAATTAAAATCGTTATTCAATATATACCTGTATTAAATTAGATCATTACCTATTATACTGATACAATTCGTTTTCTCAGAAATACAGCATGTTAGATTATTACGTCGTCAAACAAAACTCGAGAAAAAATCTCGAAGATAAAAATAAATCTGATATTTGTTCTATCGCAAGTAAATTATATAAGGAATGGGCGCTATCTCTTCATATTTATTACATGCCTGGGTTTGCGAATTCTTGAATATATTTGCTCTTGTTTGCTCACATGTAGTTTTGAAGGAAAAAATTTGGGATCAGAGTTCAGGACCGAGGATGTTCCGTTAGTGCCCCTTGTTAACCCCATGTAAACTGATTTGGAACAAACTGCGCCGTCACAATCTAATACAAACTGCGATGTCAAAGGAACAAAGATGCGACGGACTTGTCGTGTATGTGCCTCGGTGGTAGTACGAGGCTTTGCTGCTTTGTCGTAAACCATGAAATGCTCGGAACACAAAAGGCAGTCTTTTATTCATTCCAGGGTCGCACCTACGTGACGAACAATGGCGCAATTAGCGGGCACACGTGGTCGCACCCCGATATGGTGGCAGCGGCGGTGGAGGACTTTCTTTAAAATACCTACTACTCGCCGGGGCGAGCTCTCACAATTCCGGTTAAATTAAATTCATTTTTACTCTATATCCGGAATGAGTTGTTTTTATCTCATTGTTGAGGATGAAAAGACATATGGATATTAGTATTATCACCTTGAAAAGGGAAAAATTAATTATTTCTAACTTATATTTCAAAATTGCTATCCAGTCAAATATAAAGCAATTTTTATTTGACTAAAGAAACTATTCTTATCTTAATATTTAAAGTGGAGTAAAACAGGGCTCAAAGGTCTGCGGTTGTAAAAGACCACCGATATTTCAAAAACCAGTGAAGTTAGGAATTTTTTAACAACAATATTTGAAAGTACAGGAAAACACCTTGGCAAAACAGGCAAACTGAATTAACTGAATTAACTGAACAGGCAAATTGAATTAACTTTCTTGCTGGATTGTTTTCTTCTCATCATGAACGATATAAAGACAAAGGAATATTAGGACTATTGACTTGAAAATGATTCAACAAATGATTTGTTGGCAATTCATTTAATGAATTTTATTTTGTAATATGAATATTATTTTGTCATTGAAGCGAATGTTTTTAATTCTACTTAAATTGAATTAACTTTTATGCTTGATTATATTTAAAGTAATAAGTATTAAATGATAAGAATTTCATTTAACAGTTAAATGATAAAAACACATGAAACTTTGAAATATGGCACATAAAAAAATCTTATTTGTTTTATATTATTACATGATTTTAATTATATAAACATTTTAAAATTTATAAAATATCTTTTTGAGGGCTATTTATAGTTTCAATAAAAAAGCATTCTATTGGATAAAGGGAGTTATTTTCAATTATTCAAATCCTGAAGATTAAGTTGAACAAACTCTTTTAAAAAG